ATATAAAATGAGTCTCTGATGTCCTCCTTGGTGTATTCAGAGGGATGCCATCCCATTTGTATTTAGAGCCAAAAAACAAAAGCTATCACTGAACATAGTAGAAACTTCCCCTTGTATGGTTGTCAAGGGGTGTGTATGTGTGTGTGTGTGTGTGTGTGTGTGTGTGTGTGTTTAACTTGGGGAAAAAGGTTTCTTTTAGATCAATCCTTATTAGGTGAGCCTGGGTCTACCTAGCCCAGGTGAAATCTTAGTACGAACTCTACTGGGCTCCATAGGCCTTGTAGCCTCTTGACCAAAACATTGCTATGTCTCATGCAGGGCAAGAGGCTTGTGGGTTGTCACAAAAGGGGTGCATTTGTCTACTCAGCAATTACTTCAGCATGGACGGCATTCTAGCCAAATACCAAGTTTAGAGCCAAATACCAAGGTGAGGCCACATAAACAATGCTGCAGCAAGACTACCTCCAAGAGCTGGGAACAGAGCAAGCATCACTGTTGAAAGGGCCAGATGCACCATTGCTTTGCTAAGGCTTTGCTTGTACCTGTCTGCTTCTTGCCAAGGCCCTTTTGGGTTTTGCTTTGGCAGATGACGTCACTGAGACCAGACTTAATGTGGGAGGCAGATTGTATTTTGGTGCTGGGTTAAGAGGTAATTCATTAGAACTGGGCTGGACTGTCTGCCTACTGAGGGTTGAGGGAGGAGGGTGCAAAGAATATATAAGAACAGCAAGAGTATAGCACAATTAACTTCTGTTGGAAACAAGCATCCCTGACATTATGGGGCCCACGGCAGACACCAGCCTGTTGGCAGTGGCTATAGAGCCCCACTTTTCCTTAAAGTCATCTGCCTTGTGGGACATTTACCACCTATCCCTCCCCTTGTCAGGCATTAACTACATGTCCCTCCTCCTGTGTCAGAAAATGAAAGCTTCCTCTTTGCAAAATGCAAAGTATTCTTAAACAATAGTCATTCTCTCTATCCTTAATATAGGCCAGGCTCTGTGCTTTATGTGATGTGGTCCATTTATTTTTTCAATGTTCCCATGTAGCAGATACTTTGATTATCTGCATTTTGCAGATTTATCCAGCTAAACATTTTTTGAGTGTCTACTAGGTACTGGGCACTGGGGAAATAAGGCAGAGCTATACAGTATATATTTTCCTCCCCTTTTGACAAAGCTATAAAACAATCCCAATCTTAGCCCTTTTCTAGTCCTTAGGAGAATGTTACATGCCATGCAGTTTCCAGCTACAACTTCTTCTAGTAAGGCTTTTGGTAATAGTGATGGTGATGATGAAAATTGCTACATGCTTCCAGTATGCCAGGAACTGGGTGGGATCTCCTAGGACTCAAATGTACTTAGCACCCCAGGACTCTTCTGCAAGGTCATTCACTTCATCCCTAAGGCAAAACAGAACAGAATTGCTCAGCTCAGGCCATTTTTCCTAGTAAATGTTTCTTATAGTTTGAGAAGTTCGCTGTGAATATCACTGGAGAACGTTTCCCCAAGTAGTTTAGAGTTATTACCCACCCCCAAGGAGCTGAAGTAGAAATTCTCTGAGATTTGGGGAAGCCCCAAGAAAACTAATTCTACCAAGCAGATTCAGTAGAGGATGGTGAAGTTTCCAATGCATACATAGGTTACCCATCTACTCTACCAAATGGGAATGTGTCAGGTTGACTTTGAAGAAGAAACAAAATTACCAGGACTTTTCAAAAAATTTCCAAGTTGACAGGCAGTTTCAGCTGTCTAATTAAATAGGCCATCCAAACACCGGAAAAGTGGTATCCGAAAGACATAGTGTACCATGGCCAAGGACAATACTGATTAAGATCAAATAGCTAATTGTAAGCCTCAGGCTTTAAATTGCTGCCGGATGAAAAAATAACAGTGTGTGCAATCCAAGCATAATTTCACATAGAGTGAGAATGAGAATTTCTCATTCACACCCACAGAGGGCTGGAAAACATCAAGGGGGAAGAATTCCATTGGCTGGAAAGGGATAAAAAGAGTTTTCAGTGGGGATTACATCACCAGTTGGTGTCATTGTTCCTGGTTGGTGAAGACCTTCCTGGGAGTAAAAAATATTTGGTTTGGTCCAGAGACAAAAAACTCAAATATAAGCTGAACAGGAAGAAGTGAGGAAGAGAAGAGAGGCCATGTGATGGTTGTCTCTAGGAGTTGGCCTTGTGTCAACTCGGATTTCCAGGATGAACAATGCCCTGATGAGAAGTTAATGCCTTTTCTAAACAGAACCAAAATTTTGTCACAAGTTGTTTCCTTGATTTTGGTGACAAGTGAGAATGGGAAGACGTTAAGAGTATGCTAAGAATTGAGGCAAATGTCCCTCCATCCCTGGCCCTCACTGCAAGTTAGATGACAGTCACAAATTTTGCTGACTTTGGATCTGTTTCCTTTACTGGAGCTCTCAGATAATCTGATAGCTCCAAAACCCAGCTCTTACTAAAGAAACGGAATAGTATCGTGTCTGACTTGGTTTTTAGCTAAGGTGGTATCTGGCAATCATAAATATTTCATTAACATAACATCTGCAAAAAAGAAATGCATGTTTTTAATGTATAGCTTTGTAAATCACTGCAAACTCTGAAAGCAAGCAGGGAACAAACAATAATTAAAGTAAAATAAAATAATGTAGCAGCTGAACAAGAATAATAAAAAATAGAGTATTAGATGGGATGGAGATTAAAAGAAAGTGAACACACATTCATCTGGAGATGCAATCATTGCTGATTTTATTCTAACATCCAGTCCTTTCCTCCCCTTATCTAGGGGTGGGTGCTGAGAAAATGTTCACTTCAGTTTTGTAAATTATAGAAATGTTAATTTTTAAATATTCTATCTTTCTAAAAGTTAGATCATTCTCCCTTTCCTGAAAAGGAAAAGGTAGCTGAACTTCGTCATACGTACACCATTTCTGTGCATGTCAACCCAAATGTCTTGCACTTTCATCCCCTTCCGCCCTATCTGAGGCTTCCTCTGGCTCTCAGGGCCCACAAGCCCTTATGGGTGGGCAAATGGGAGGTATGAGAAGTTAATGTTAATCTCATCATCCTTTGGCAAATGATTAATGGCAATTGGTAGTTAATAACTCATATCCCTTCCTCTGTGATTAGGATAAAGATGAGGCATGCTCCATACTGTTTCCCAGAGTTTCTAAACAGCAGTCAGCCTCAGTTACCCCCAGTGGTAACCTGCTTGATAATGCAGTCTTATCTCCTTTCTCATTTATACTAATCCTTGTCTCATTTCCCTCACTCCACTGTTGGTTCTTCCTAACATTGTCACCTAAATAATCTACTTGCACTCAAAGCCTTGTCTCATAGGCAGCTTCTGGAAGAACTCAACCCAAGACACTTCATGAAGGTGTTTCTTTGAGGAGCTAACTTAATAGAGGTCTAAAGCTTTGTATTAGTCATGGTTCTCTAAAGAAACGGAATGAATAGAATTTATATATGTGCGTGTGTATGTATTTGCACACACACATAAATACACACACGCACACACACACACACACGAAGTATTGGTTCACACAAGCATGGAGGCTGAGAAGTCCCATGATATGCTGTCTATAAGCTGGAGACTAGGAAAGTAGTGGTGTAATTTGAAGACTGGAGAACCAATAATGTAGACCTCAGTCAGCATCTGAAGGCCTAAGAACAAAGAGTGCTGAAGACAGAGATGGATGCCCCAGCTCAAGCATTCAGGCAGAGAGATAACACAAATTATCCCTTTCTGCACCTTTTCACTCTGTTTTGGCCATCAACAGGTCAGATGATGCCTGTCTGCATTGTGGGAGAGCAATCCTTTTTGCTCATTCTACCAATTCAAACACGAGTCTCTTCCAGAAATGCCCTCACAGACATGCCCAGATACAATGCTTAACCAGATATCTGGCATTTCATGATCCAGTCTAGTTGACACATAAAATTAACTACCACAGTCAGGTAGATCACCATCTGGTTGTTTCTCTAAACTATTAGATAAGCTTTTGATCAATGCTGAATAACAGATGTTGTAGGATTGCATTATCTGGAGGATACTCAAAATATGAATCATCTGGATTGCTGATTTAAAAAATAATGTTAGATCTAGGAATTGATATTCTGTACACACACGTGTGTGAATGCACAAGCTCTTTCTGTGCGTGAGAGCAAACCTAGTCCTTTGTAAGGTCATGGGAGTGAGTAGAGATTACAGTGATATTTGTGGAGAGAGCCAATAATACTTCCCAGAGAATTTGGAATCTTATGAAGGGTTTGTTCAAACTCTGCCATGCAGCATTTTCAAACAGTGGTTGGAAAATAGCTGTTCCCATCATAAAGAAGTGTCTCTAGGTCTCTTCTAATTGTATCATCTCTTCTAATTATGCCCTGATCAACTGCCCATACTGCATTAACTACACAAATGTGCCCTGGTTAAATGGTGACCTCTGCATCAACAGTTCTGCCTCGTACCACAGGGAGAACACAAATAGGATAAAACTGGGAGATCCAATTCCAACAAATCTCCAATGATTATTCTCTGCAGAAGCATTTAAATTAGAATTTGGTTCCATTTAACTCAGCATTCTACTTGTAGATTAAGACATTTCCCTTCAGACAGCACAGCAGACTAAGTGGTATGAACCCACTTCAATTAATTGCACCTTATGAAATCTTTGTTGCAATCTAGACTACCATCAACTTCTGGGATTGGCTAGTATTTATTAAGACCTCACACCCCATTCAAATTCATCTAAGTACCCATGTTTATCTTTACTGTATTCCTTGGTTCACAACTTATCCTCTGATGTAATTTTAGAAGCAAAGTTAAGAAAGGCTCTAGTAACTTAGGAAGAATTGATGCAAGTGAAAAAAAATTATATATTTTATTCTCCCCACTCTTGCGCTCTTTCTCTTTTTCTGATCAGAATGAGCTGAGTTGGCCCAAAGAAGTAAAACTGAATTTCCTGCAGTGACATCCCTTCAAGTACTAGTTGAACTATTAACTCTCTTCAGCACATATACTAAAATTGGAACGATACAGAGAAGATTAGCATGGCCCCTGCGCAAGGTTGACACGCAAATTTGTGAAGCGTTCCATATTAAAAAAAAAAAAAAAAGAAAAAGAAAAAGACTGTGTTGGGTAAAAATCTGCTCTGGGGAATAAGCAAGTGGAAGGACAACCCCAAATCTTATTTTTATTTTTATTTTTATTTTTGGTGAGTGTTTAAGTGAGGCTGGAGAGAGCCTTGAGAAGCATAAAGCACTTTAGTAGAATAGCTTGAACTGGCATCACTTCTATCTCAGGGTTTAAATAAAAAATTTTTGTATCAAACATACAGAAAATCATCTTCTAATGCATTATTCAGCAGTCACAGAGGAGGCATTCGTTAAATGTGTGAAGATTCAAGAAAATGAATCAAATCAATAGTCAATAACACTTCATCATACTGTGTGACATGCTGGACTTCTGAAAGGCAAAGCAATGCTTGAACTCTTTGGCTTCTAGGGGCTTCTTGTAGCTCTCATCTCCAAATTTGAACTTATGGCTTGGAGACTTAGGCAAAAGGAAAAGACATATACTCATATGAAAATTCAAGATTCATTCATTCATTATAGACAGGCATATACTGGTGGATAGCAATAAATGAAAGAAGAAGTCTGTTGTCTCACCACAGCTGGGATCTACCCCTGAGTTTTGTATTTATCACAGGATATGGAGGGGGCATACACTCCTAGGTTAGGAATGAAGAGTGTGAATTTCCTTTTCACACATTTAATATTACTGATTTGACTGGAGGGCATAGAAAATAGGTGTCATGAGTGTGCACTGAGGAACGACTTTTCCTGCAAATAACTCCACATTGTCCTGATATAGCTATTCCCTGATATCTCCATCATCATGCTCACTTTCTACAGAATTTATGGACCTGGTCATCTCAGCTACTTTTATGTCGAGTATGACAATCAAATAGGTGAGAAAAGGATGTCACTTTACTTGCCTTGAATCCACTGAAATCTCTCAGACCTGTAATTCAGGCTCATGAAAAAGGCAGTCACTGTCATTGTTGGGGCCTCCTCTGCACCCCAGATTCATAAAAAGTTTACTTGCTTTATATAGACAGCACCAAATCATCAGAAGGAATCATCTCATGGCAGATTTTAGGTCCACACTGTTTAATTAGGAAAGCCCAATGCCTTAAACTACCTAATTCTTTCAGGTACAATATCTTGGCTCATGTGGGACTGGCCTGGAGCCTGAGCTGAGTGTTATTTGTGGAGGTTGGAGGTCCTCTACTTGCTTGGCCAATCATACTCCCCAAGATTTTTTCACCACCCAAGAGTGCTGCATGCAGGGCTTGATGCCCAGGGCTAAGACAACTGCCTCCTTGTGGTATCATCACTTACAGGAGTGAGACTGAGGGAAGGAATGATGGACCTTGATGTCCAGGGCTAAGAAAACAGCAGAATTGTCTTAGGTTAGTTTTCGTCATACGCAGACCCTGAGTCATGTACTTGGGTCCAACTGAGTTATGGAAGGAAGCGCTCTCAGGATCAACCAGTAAGAGAGTTGGAGAAGCAAGATAAGAATGGGGATGGAATCAAGCAAGACTGTTTTCAACTGAACTCCCAGACTCAACCCGATCTCTTGTGGCTCTAAGGAGTGTAATTTACACTTCCAGGAACAACACTATTTGGGCTTGTAAACTTCCATACCCATTAGTCATTGCTTACAGGCAACCCTGGGGTGGGCATGAGGGGAACAAAAATCTCCTAGGTATGTTTCAGCTCATAGGAAGTGCACACATGAGTGCAGGGTGGTGGCTATGCCCAAAGGCAGTCCTCTGAAGATTCCAAGTGCCAGCTCTCAGCTGCAAAGCACTCATGTTGAAGTTGAGGAATGGGTACCCTGAGCTGTCAAAGGAATCTGGGAGACTTGGGTGTTCACTATAGAGCCATCCCAAAGCCATCACATATGCTTCTGTAAAGTAGCATGACAGTGAACCACTTCATACAGTTGCCTGGAAGAAAAAAGAAAACATAAATATGGAATGTCTTTCTTTAAATATTTATCTTTTTTTTTTTTTGAGATGGAGTTTCGCTCTTGTTACCCAGGCTGGAGTGCAATGGCATGATCTCGGCTCACCGCAACCTCCGCCTCCTGGGTGCAGGCAATTCTCCTGCCTCAGCCTCCTGAGCAGCTGGGATTACAGGCACTCACCACCATGCTCAGCTAATTTTTTGTATTTTTAGTAGAGACGGGGTTTCACCATGTTGACCAGGATGGTCTCGATCTCTTGACCTCGTGATCTACCCAATCTGAAACAATATCCCAGAGAAATGCACCTTTGATTACTATTTTTTTTCATGCAATAGCATGTAAAGGCATGCTAAACCTAGTATGTTTCTCTCTCCAGGATGAGTCCTGAAAGTTGCAGGGCAATGTGTTATTTATTATTAATCAAAGAAGATTTCACTTAGTGAAGCAGGACCTTGATGCTCCTTCAGGCCAGAAATGCGAATATTTTAAATTCTCATTTGGCTTTGCACCAATAAACCCATCCCACTGAAGATAAATGAAACATTTATTAAAAACCCAAATAAGAAAGAATCATAAATCTGTTCAATGGGGAGATACAAAGGTTTCTGAAAAGAGAATGAATAGGGGAAAAAAAAAGAAAAGAAAAGAAAAAAAAAAAGGTCGTTTTGAAATCTGACCCTAGGGAGGAGCTCTGATGAGGTGCAGATGGCCTATCTACCCACTAGGTAGATGTCTAAACTGGGAGAGCAAGTCTTAGAATTCACTTCAAAAGCATCATGAGAGAGAGTGTGGCTTTGGGAAGTACAGAAAATAAATGAGAGATAAGAGAGAATAATACTCAGTGGTTGTTGGATGTAGGATGCAATTTGAAGGCTTTATTGTGCAGGATTAAAAGATACGAATGTACAGACACTGTGGTTGGCACCCAGAAGTCTGATCAACACCTTGGAATAAGGTATGGAAACCCAGCGTTTCCACAGGCACTAACAGAAGCCCAGAAAATGGACTGGAATATTGCATTATGTTTGAATAGGCCCAACAATGGGCCTTTATATTTCTCTGTGGAGTTTTCTTTAAGATGTATTTGGGAAATTGGCATTTAAAGGCAGTTGGGTGCTTTGTGAACAAAGGCAAGTAAGGGAAAAGGAAACCGTGCTGTTTCAATTACTTCTCAGAACCAGCCCACACAGGTAAGTGTTATCCTGTTTTATAGATGAGAAAAGCAAGGCTTTAGAGTTTATGTAATTTTTTGAGACCCTAGTTCATTAAGTGGAAGAATTAATAGATTTCCCCCTTTATCCCTTCCACCCACCAACAAATAGTTATTGAACCCTTACTATGTGCTTGCTCTGGACACTGGGGAACCAAATGATTATCTGAACCCAAATATAAGCACTGGAGTTTTCTGATTCTGAAGGCCCTTCTTTTTCCATCAGAGTCTAGTGAATAAGTGTATTTAAATAATTTTCTAGAAAATTATATTACTCTATGATTATGTAAGACATTAAAGAGATTTGTACAGAGTGGTAAGACTATGGGAACACATAAAAATAGGCTTGAAAGACTGAATAATGCTAGATTTAGACACTTGGTGGGGAAGACCCAAGCCACTTTTCTTAATATGTACTTAAAAACTCCAGAAACAACAAAAATAACAAACTTTCGGGATCACATTTTCTGATTATAAAACTTCAGAAAAAATTATAAAGAAGTAAAATTTATTTTTAATATTATAAACCAGAGATAACTGTAATTATTTTAAAGTATGTTCTAGTTTCTCCCTCCAATCCTTGGCTGCTTGATATTTATCTGGCTTTGAACTTTTTGAATCTGTAGGTTGATGTCTTTCATCAGTATGGGAAAAATTTTTAGCTATTATTTATTTGCATATTATTTGTACTCTATTTTTACTCCCTTCTCTTTCTTGGATACTAATTATATTTATTATTTAACCTCCTCACTGTATCTCCTATGTTCCTTATTTTTTTCCCATACATTTTAAATCTTTTTGTCTCTTTTTGCTTCATTCTGAGTTTTTTTAAGCCATCTTTTAGGTTATTAATACTCTTCAGTGGTATCTGATTTGCTATTAAACTTATCTACTGAGCTTTAAATTCCTGCCATTATACTTTTCCATTTCATATTTTTCCTTTGTTTATTTTTTTAAGGTTTCCAGTCTTTTGCTCAATCTTGTCTTTTATTTCTTTGAACATATTCAGCATAGTTATTTTTAAGTAGTATCAGATAACATTATCTGTATTCTTTATAAATGTGTTTCTATTGTCTGTATATCTCTTGATTTTCAGTCTTGCCTTCTGTCTTAGTCATTTTGGGCTGCTACAAGAGAATACCATAGACTGGGTGACTTAAACAACAAACATTTATTTCTCACAGTTCTGGAGGCTGGGAAGTCCAAGATCAAGGTGCCAGAAGATTCGTTGTTTGGTGAGGGCTTGCTTCGACTTCTTACTATATCCTCATGTGTCAGAAGGAGGGTGGGAGAGCTCTCTGGGTTCTTTTTTAATAAGGGCACTAATCTCATTCTTGAGGGCTCCACCCTCATGACCTAATCTACTCCCAAAGACCCAACATCTTAATACCATGATATTGGGGATTCGGATTTCAACATATAAATGCTGAGGGGGACACACCCATTTGGTACTTTGTACCTTTTACTGAATCCTAACTCAGAAGCATCACTTGGCTGTATCCTGATGACATTCCATAAGCAATAACTTAAAACCAAATAATAATTCTGATAGTTCTTCATCCTAAGATCTCATCAAGTTAAAGTTGCACCGTTGATTTGATTGTAGCTTTTCTGGGTTTGTGAGGAAGAAAATACTACATGAAAAGTACACATCATATGTAATCTGATTTCAGAAATGCCAGATTATAAAAGAATACACATCTAAGCATTATGGAAATATAGCTATATTCCTTGGGCAGAGGTGTTTGTATGTCCTGATTCAGTTTCTCTTTAAGTTTTCTTTCAAAGCTTGCTCAGTAAAATAAACAAAGGATCTAAATTGTTCTAAATCTCTGTTACTTTCAAGGGCTCAAAA